ACCTGGCTCCGTCGGACTTTTTCTTGTTTCCACGGATGAAGAGAAGTCTGAAAGGAAAGCGATTCCGTGATGTGGATGAAGTCAAAGAAAACACGCTAAAGGCTTGGGAACAGTAACCAGCCTCAAGAATTCCAGCACTGTTTTGAGCAGTGGCAAAAGCGTTGGGACAAGTGCATTAATGCACATGGACAATACTTTGAAGGGGACTAATATACAGTTCAATAAAAATGCAAAAATAAAAAATAACAAAAATAAATTCCGGTTATTTTTGGGTCCCCCCTCGTACACAGAACTATTCCCCTGTAAGGCTGCCTACACAAGGTGTGTAGATGGTCTTTACAGTAACTGGGTACGCAAGACAGAATATAAGGCCACAAGAACCTGATGGAATATGCCACCTGAGTACTGGTGCATACTATGTACAACAGTACAAAGTCTGGTAAGCTCTGAGGTTTTCATAGCAGTGACTATGAAGAATGCTGTCTTCTGGGTTGTGGTGCCGTGCAGATCTGGTGTGAACCGACGTTTTGGAGGAACATGTCGCCTCCATCTACACAGTAGAAAAATCGGCAAGTGAGTAACCAGCATGACTAGGTGGCAGACTCATCTGCAGCCACCTGCTCATACTGGTTCCTCACTCGCAGATTGGTCTACCCTGAAGATGGAGGTGATACGTTCCTCTCAAATGTCAGTTCACACAAGATCTACATAGTGCCACATCCCAGAAGATAGTGTTCTTCAGTATGAATTCTGCTTCTGAAGTTTGTCTGAACTGCAGTTTAAATGTGACTTAAATAAAAATATTCTGAAATCTCACACTTCCAAGTAAGGTAAAACTACAGAAGTGTGTTTAGATAGTGAAACAGAATATTGAAAATCAGAAAAGTGCATTACTTCATTTCTGCCCCAAAACTGGATATAGAACATTCGAACATTCTGGCAATACTGTGACATTTTTAGCACCGTCTTTGGTACAGGTATAAATATATTAAGATTATGAGTCTACTTTCCACATACTGCTATGAAAGAAAACTGTGTATCATATTTCATAAATTTATTTCCAGGTGTATGCCATGTTGATGATCTTGTTTATGTAATTGACTATGCTAAAGGTGACCATGTCGAATCCCAGGAAGACAAAAATATATCACAATTACTACTCGACATCTGGACAAGTTATGCACATAATGGGTAAGTTATGTTTTCTAGAATATATGTAGGATAACACAATAACGGAGCAGATTGCCACAGTGGTTCTGCTTCTGATTTGTATTTGGGCCGTGGTTGGCTCAAATCTCAGCCGGGACACCAGCCATCCTGACCAGGGTTTTCTGTGGTCTTCTTCAGTCCCTCCAGACAAAGGACTTCAATTATGTATTGACAAATTCCTTCCTAAACCTTTCCAATTCATCATGTACCTGTCATCCTATAATTTAATGGTATATAGTCTAGATACAAACAGTCCTAACATAACCCACATGACATTCTCAGTCTCTTGAATATAAGGACTGCTGTCTTCTGAGATGTGACATCATATCATCTGACAAAGAGGAGCCAACATTTCAGAGGAACCTGCTACATCCATCTTCAGGATAGAAGAGATGTAGGCAATACAATTACTCACTAGCTCTTAATTTCTTTTTGAATCAAATTCTGATCTGCCACAAACAACACAACAACCTTACATATTTACATATTTTGCTTTCAGCAAACCTGTTCCACCCAACAGGAGCTTCATCTGGGAACCAACAACTCCTAACGACAAAGAACTTGAATACTTATACATAGGTAATCCGAACAAACTAGAAATGCGATCAAGTAACAATCTTGGCGAACAAGACTTCTGGGATTCTCTGCCAATCAATGAACCACAAATTGGCAAGAACACACCACTAAGGAAAAAACATACTGAGTTTTAAAGCCAAACATTACATTATTACTTTTAATGACCAAAACATTTCTCATACGGCAGGAAACGTAAACACTGATTCAATGTTACACTTTTAATGCCTTGATATGTTGATGTGCTATTATTTTACCTTAGTTACTATTTTTAGGTATACAGTCCTACCCCAACCTAAGACTTCTGACTTACAATCCCATTAAATTATCACTCTTTAGACTTATGCTCTGAATTTTTGGACTCACAATTCAGAAATTGAAGTCTGGAGCTGAAATTGTAGCTTGTAACAATTCATGCTGTAATGCTCTGGGGTCTCTAATCACAACTCTTAATAATCCATTGTAAAATATTAAGACAGAGATCTTAATTTACATATTTTACATATTTGATGTCCTCTCATTGACTTTATAATAAAAATGACTCAATTACAATGCAAAACAGATCAGAATATTGAAAAGCCTTAGGTTCCAGGAATGTAGTGTTGTATATCCCATGTTATAATGAACTCAAGTTACCATTTTTGACTTACAATTCATTTTCAGGAATGCATTATGTCCTAAGTCTGAGGTATAACTGTATACAAAAAAAAATTACTCTTTTAACTGAAATGTACTGGCATATATGTATGTATGTATTTATGTATAGTGACTGCTGTAAAACCAACCTTATCAAAAGAAAACACTGAAGGTGGTCCTCCAAGGACAGAAACATTTATGATTATATATACATGTGAATGATTACACAGAGGGCCCACTGCCATTTCCTTTCACTCTTCTTCCATTCAATAAGACTACTAGTTATTCACCCTCTTTTAACAGAATATCACACCACACACCACACATTAAATTTTGGTTCAACTTTGTGGTTCCGTCTGTAGCTCTATTAAAGTGTGTACACATTTTTTGAGCCCCTCTGTATTTACTGACTGGATTTGTTGGATGAAGTGTCACTGTATAATTTAAACAACATTGTATGAAGGGGCTTAATATACTTTAACCATTTTTATTGGCATCTCCAATGAGCAGGTTCGCTCAAGCAGTAATGTTTTTGATTTGTATTCAGGAGATAATTGGTTCAAACCTCAGCCTGGACAATGGCTATTCAGACTGGCCAAGGTTTTTCCATGGTTTTCCCAATCCATCCAAGCAAATTTTGTAACAATACCTTCAAATATGCTGACTGCTTCCTTCCATATCTGCTAACAAATTCTGCCTGGTTAGAAATTCCATGGACAAGAGTCTATCTTGAGAAGCTATCAGTTTCTCAGGTTGTCAAGAAATGCTCCTCTTTTTACAGAAACTGAAGATTCATTACCATGCAAGACTTGAGGATCTTTCTGCAATGATAGTGAAGATGTCTTCTACGATGTCAAACATGTGGTAGTTTGATAGAAAGTTACCAACATTTCGGAGGAACTTTCTGCATCCGCCTTCATTTGACAGTTATATTAGCCTCAATGCTTATCTGCCTGTCCCTAAATTGCTGACCATTTTGCCTTCCCATATATGTAGTATATACAAGAAAGCATTATGAAAATGAATGAAATCAATCAACGGATTTAACCTTTAACGGACAGACTTTTAAACTGCCGGGAGCCCTCTGCAGCCGGTATTTAAATCGCCCTAGCCAATCAATATTGGAAACTTTCAGAAAAAATACATATTTTCTGTTCTATGCAACATAGAAATATGAGCTGAAAAGAATCTGAAAGACAATAAAATTTTCTACATATACAAAAAAGAGAAATTTTTACAAACGAAAATTAAATTATTTCGTCATGAAATGCAAAATATAATCTTTATTACACTCAACTCTCGATTATCCGGGATAATGTTGGGGATGGAAATCACGATTAATCAAAAACCCAGTTAAGACAAATTTTATTAAAAGTAGCACTGTAATACTGTACCTTCATAATACTATATGCCTACCTGTATTTAAATTTATTCAACCTCATTTTTATGTCATCTCATGGCCTATTTAATATTTTTTTTTACATTACACTGAAGTATGAATTAGTTATTTCAATCACAGTGTTCAACAACATCCAACACTTTTTACGAACATTCACACTTAACACTTAAAAAAATTAATACTGTCATTTGCTTTTTCGTGGCATTTTCCTTTTTAAGGATATCTGTATGAAGCCTATGTAATATTAGCTTGTCACTTAATAACCTGTTCTCTTCACTCTCAAGATAGTCTAGTAAGTATTCCAAATGATTAAGATATTTTCTTACCAGCAGCCCTGTCCACCTCTTCCTCATTCTTACTTTCTTCCCGCTCTTCTGGCTGCACCCCCACTGAACTTACGATTCGTCACTGTTAACATTTCGAAGCCCGGCTCACATGAGTTTCTGTTGAATACTTAACACAACACGCTTCCTTTTACACCCTGACATTTTGCTAACGCACTTGAAGATTGATACAAAGAGACTAACTGGGGCGGTGTATCTGTCCTTGAAACTTTCCAAAAAT